TGCATTTTTTATGTATTTTTTAACAAATTAATAGATGCAAAGAAAATGTCATTGACCTTTACAAATCAAGCACAATATCAAAATGTATTCTTGTAGCTGACCTGTAGCTATGCATGTTTCATAACACTTCATAACACATTTGCATGACACTGGCATGAATTTCAGTTTTTTTGTGACTTGTTTTTCACACCTTTATATTTTTAATTTACGGTTATGCATGTTTTTTTTTGTTTTGGTTGTTTCTTGAAATATTTTTAATTCCCTCTTAAGAAACTAACAGCCTCTTGGCAGGTCGTCAGTGTGAAAACAAATTTGGATGGAAAGCAAAGTACTATATTCAATTTACATACCCTCAGTTTATAGTTTATACATATGTAAATGTGTAGGAAGATGTGTTACTGACAATAGTTCTGATACATTCGAATGCAACCTGTGACACCTAAAAGCAGACTTCTAGAAGCTGGTAGTAAATCACACTTGCAAGAGTATCATCAGATCTTTGTGCGAAAGACAGGAGGTTACGGTTGCTTTGAAATAAATTATGAAATTGCATATTTCCTATTTTTCTTTTTCAGTCAGCATACAACCGGAAAGGTAGACTGCAAACGACTGAAAAAGTTGAGAGACACTAAGCACATGGCACACTTCAACTCAAGATGTTGGGAGCTGTCAAAGCACCACTATCTTTAGCATGACGATCTCACCCTTCTGCACAGAGACTGCACATGTGTGGATCTCTTGGAGAGCTATGCGCTCCTCGCTTCTCTGCTCTTTTCATCTCCTTTGCCTCCTTTCATTTCGAGCACGCCTCATGTTGGGCTTTGTTTGCCAGCCAACACGGTGAGGTTCACACCCAGGGAGGTGGCAGAGGAAGGGGAACAGCAGGCAGGAGCCCTTTTTAAACATGGCACTTGTGGGTGTACAGCAGCCAACCTATGTGGACACATCAGAGAGGTATTGGCCTGGGTCAAAACCGAAAATGAAGATGAAAGCAAAGCATTGGAAAGCGTGTTCACTCTCTGCCCTATCAACCCTATGATTGCACAAACACCATCTGACCACAGCACCCAGGGCCGGCGCTAGCTATAGGCATGCAGGCGATTGCCTAGGGCCTCAGGCTTTGAGGAGGGGCCTCCATAACCGTAACATCCCCTATATGCTAGTCCACTAGTCAAGACGGGCAGAAATACTAGCCTCATTGTTCATTGGATATAGTTGAATTGTCACTCATCTTCAATTAAACCAATTAATGTTGCAGTTTCAAAATGGGTCCTACATTCTGGATGTTTGCGTAATGAACACATCCTTCAGGTGCTGCGAACTATGCAATGCAAACGGCTAAATAGGCACGCAAAGAAGTACAGCTCCTAATGCAGGTGTGTGAGTTGTTGTCATCTATTTTAGAGTGATTGCGATGTATTCTAAATATAAACTTGCTTTATCGATCAGCGTGATTTCTGGAAAGATCATTCACTGCTTTATTATGAGTGTAAAAGAGCGCGAGCACCGTTGACGTGCCCAGACGCAATGCTTTGAATCTGTGCATACAATCAATGAAATCGCATCAGGAGCTGAATAGCAAAATAGCTACAAAAGTAAAAGCCTTTAAGTGGATTGAATGCAATGAAACTGAGTTTTGACAGAATGTTCAAGAATTGTGTTACATAAGCTCATTTTAATTAAGTAAACTGAACAAGCAGCAAATATAATTTTGTTAAGTGTAAAACAGGCTAAACTTTTCTGACCTTTCAGCCATATGGGACAGATGCAGCACGACAGATTGCCGGGAATGTGAGGAACATTTTCGAAGCAAGAAGGGGAGCGAGAGAGAAGGAGAAAGATCATGTGACACTGAAGAGTAATGGCTGAAGAATATTCAGTTTTGCATCACAGAAATAGGCCTATATTTTAAAGCATAGTAAAATAGAAAACCTTTATTTTAAGTTGTAATAATATTTCACAATATTATAGTTTTCTTTCTGTATTTTTGATCAAATAGGTTAAATCCACGCTTGATGAGCATAAGAGACTTCTTTCAAAAACATTTAAAATAGCAATGTTTCCAAATGTTTGTACTGTATAAGTAAAAATATACAAAATTTAATGTTAAATGTTGTATAAATAAAAAGGTTAGGAATCATATTTGTTTCAAGTGCTTTTTATTGGGGGCGGGGGTGGGGCAACATGTATTTTGCCTAGGGCCTCCTAATGTCTAGAACCGGCCCTGCTCCTCAGTATGACGGTCATGACTATAGATCAGTGGTTCTTAATTCCAGTCCTGGGGTACCACTGCTCTGCACATTTTGTATGTGTTCCTTATTTAACACACCTAATTCAGATCATCAGCTCATTAGGAGGGAGATCCATGAACTGAACCGAGGGTGTCAGATAAGAGAGACATACAAAATGTGCAGAGCAGTGGTACCCCAGGACTGGAATTGAGAACCACTGCTATAGATGATTCTGAATATTTTAAGAAGATATGCAGGTGATTCTTACAAAATGTCCTGCTCATGTCTCACCCCAAAATCAAATAAAGTAAAACATTTTATTTTGAAAACTACATTTTAATGACAGTTAAGCACAGTTTTCATTTAAATCCCCATTACTGTAAAGCTAAAAAAAACAAACGAATAAAAACTCACATTTTATGGTAATGAGAATATACAGGTTACATGTATCATTAACTATTATTGAAAAATCTTCCTGGAAAATGGAATGCAAAAATATTAGTGGTCCTATAAAAAGGCCTGTTTTCCTTCTTATTTTGTTGTCCTTCTTATTTTGGAGTGACCTGGATATGATTTGTGAGATTCACATAGAAATTATCAACAGGCCATCAGAATAATTATTACATTTGACTTAAAACTGCAGAAATAAGAGAACCAGCTGTGTTAAGTTTTGCTTTTTTAGAGATGATTATAGATAAACATTAAAAGCTTATTTTTATTTAAAAGGAAAACATATTTCCCCCCCCCTTTTTTTTGTGGAGTGACCTACTGTAGATATGTTTTTGTGAAAATAGCCAACAGGCCGTCACAATAATTATTAAATTTGACTCTACAAAGACCCTCAAGGACTATGAAACAGTAAATGTCTGCCCTCAATTTGTATAATGGTTTCTAAACTTGACCCAATGTAAAGGCTGCATGATGAGAATTGGATTTAATTGTGTGTCAGTTCACCGTGGGTTGCCAATTATGAGCACATTTGGAAGAAATGCTGTCAGAAACTCGTGGAGACTGAGTGACATCAGAGACACGGGGCCAGAGCACCAGTGTCAGAGTAATTAGCATTCATTTAAAGTTGCTGAGCAAAAACAATTACACTAAAATGGAAGCAGGTATAAATGATGCTAGACTAGTTGTAATTGATTACTGATTACAGACCTCCCAGCCCTCCCCCAATGCACACACAAACAAAATTATTTTTGGTAAATACCTATGTGATGCTTGTTCAAGGTCATTATATTTTTACCATGCATTTTATATTAATGCACCATTTTGCTATATTGCTTAGCAACCATAAACAACCTACTGTTAGGCTAATTGACTATATTGCTTTGTAGATAAGTTCTGATTATCAATATTGAATTTAACATTGGCAGCACTTGATATTCGTCTCATCTTATATGTACGTCTTTTATCATGCTGCAAATGTTTTATAAAACCCTTATATGTGCCCACACTTCTTTTACCACATGCCCAAGAACACACCTCACCCATAAAATCTCTGTAATGCATGCCCTATCATGACTCATTCCATTCTAAAGCTTTTCATAATACCTTATAATGCAAATTTTAATTTAATATATATTTTCAAGAATCTGATGGAGTCTTCAATAACCAAAAGCACTAACTTTACAACATTGAGATCACTGAACTGAATTGAATCAACATTGAAGTGACTTGAGCTGCATAATGACACTATTTTCTGCTGTACTGAACTGAATTGAACTTGCAATATTGGTAGTTACTGAACAACTGAAAAAAAAACCCACTGAACTAAACTGAGCTGAATATTGACACTATTATCTTCCAAAGAGCTGCTTTATAGATGAAAGGAAATTTGTTTCAAAATTTAAGAATTTTACAACATCAACACTGTTAATTTTTTGTGAAACATCTTTGAAACAATCTGTATTGTATAAAGCGTTATATAAACAAATGTGACTTTATTTTAATATGACTTAAATATGACGATAAGGGGCTGCAATTAATCAAAAGAATGTGCATTGAAAGGCATTACAAAAAAGCCATTTTTACTCCATTTTTCCTACAAGACAAAGTTGCAAAGCACCTTGATATTTAGCTCTTAACATCCTCATCAATGTCAGCGGCTGTTAAATGAAATATTTTTCTGATCCGCTGCCAACTACTTTCCCTACAAATCACTGTGGCAGCACACGATCGGGCAGCACTTGATATTCGTCTCATAGACGCCCAGCTCGGTTATACATATTTGATCAAACAGCTGATATGAAGTAATAACCTCTCATGATGATAGTATTTATTCATCCCTGTAATGATCAGCCCCTGTTTAAATTGCGCTGGAAGGCTGTGACGTACGTGTTATCGGTTGCTGAAGGGGACAAAGGCAACAGTGGGTGCAGATGTTGCCTCTGGAAGCCGGGGAGCGTGGGCCACCACGGCCCTGTGGCTATGCGGAGCCCCAGCTGGGGGAGAGAGACGGAGCACATTCATCTATCCCTCTCCGGGGCCTCGCGCAGGTACCCTTCCACTGCCAGGCACGGGGGATGAAAGGCTGCAAAGGGTGTTTCACAGATGTCACCTGCTGGGGTTCAGTGGCCCTCGCCAGCAAATGTCATGTTTGGCAGCTGGTCCACAGCTCTCTCCCCCACCAGTTGTTGGCAGAGAGGCTCCTAAAGGATACGAAAGATGCTTGCACCGGGGGCGTCCTAACGGGACAACATTAAAGAGAGTTGTTGGCTCCTGTCTGTCATAGTACATTAACCTTGTCCTGTTTTCTGCTCTCTCTAGGGCTGGAAGGGCCATGGTCTTTCTCCTTCTCGCTTCGAAAATGTTCCTCACATTCCCGGCAATCTGTCGTGCTGCATCTGTCCCATATGGCTGAAAGGTCAGAAAAGTTTAGCCTCTTTTACACTTAACAAAATGATATTTGCTGCTTGTTCAGTTTACTTCATTAAAATGAGCTTATGTAACACAATTCTTGAACATTGTCAAAACTCAGTTTCATTGCATTCAATCCACTTAAAGGCATAGTACACCCAAAAAATGGAATTGTACTCACTTTCATGTCATTCCAAACCTGTCTTCTTCTTCTTTTTTTTATGTGGGTGGGGGTGTGTAAAATAAGATATTTTGAAAAAAGTTGGTAACCAGTTTTAGTTCCCACTGACAAAAATACAATGCAAGTTAATGGGAACCAAAACTGTTTGGTTAGCAATATTCTTCAGAATATCTTCTTTTACATTCCACAGAAGACAACATTTGGAATGACAGTGAGGGTAAATAAATGATGACTGAATTGTCTGTTTTTTTTTTTTGTTGAGTGGACTGTCCCTTTAAATATGTAAAATGGCAGTTAAAGGGTTAGTTCACCCAAAAAGGAAAATTCTGTCATTAATTGTGATGAAATTTGAGGGCTCTCTGACCCTCCCATAGACAGCAAGGTAACTACCACATTCAAGGTCCAGAAAAGTACCAAAATGATCGACAAAGTAGTCCGTGTGACATCAGTGGTTCAACTTTGCGCAAAAAAGTATTCTCGTAGCTTCGTAACTTTACAGTTGAACCACTGATGTCACACGGACTACTTTGTCGATCATTTTGGTACATTTCTGGACCTTGAACGTGGTAGTTACTGTCTATGGGAGGGTCAGAGTGCCCTCAGATTTCATCAAAAATATCTTAAATTGTGTTCCGAAGATGAACCGAAAGTCTTACGGGTTTCGAACAACACAAGGGTGAGTAATTAATGACAGAATTTTCATTTTTGGGTGAACTAACCCTTTAACAATCCATTTGTGCTGGGACAACATAAGTACTTTTTATTGTGTTGACAGGGAGAGATTAATGGAAATTAATTTTAGAAAATAGTGGATTTAATAGCGTTCAGTAGGGATGGGAAGATTCCCCGATTCGCTCGGTGCATCGGCATAAAAAATGAAAGATGTGATGCATCTGTTTAGAAAGTGTGCATCGGCTACAAGTTGGCATTTATATCACGATGCATCGTTTCTAACATATTTGCATTGGTAAAAAACTATTTATTAATATATCATTACTTGTGGATGCGCTATACTTTTATTGTTTAGAAAGTGACCAATAATCTGTGACCAAGATTTTATATGTAGATTGATTTCTCCTCTCTGTTTCTCAAGCGCGTTCTGCTGCTGCGTGATTGTGATGAATCACCACAACACTACGGAGACCCAAGGAAAAGCGGGGATTAAAGTCCAAAACCTGACTTGAAATAACCTAACAAATCAATCGGGGCTAAAGCAGTTCCATAAATGACTAATTAAATTCACACAATCTCACTAATTTGTGCACGTTTATTCTTAAGCAGCCCTTAATGTTGATCATGGATCAAATCGATCCACCATTGCAAACAGCGAATATATCAGTGCTGTTTAATGCATTTGAGACGTTGTGTTTTCCTCAGTGCATAACTGACATGTCACAGGTATATTTTTTGCCACAGTGACTAAGCTTGATCTAGGCCCATGTTAAATTTGGTTTATGGAACCAAATCATTTGACAATGAGTCAGACTAACTGAAATAAGCCTGGTTTATTTGGTTAACTTGTTTTATGAAACAGGCCTCGAGGTGATCATATTTTCTCCATTGCATTGTATTGCATCGAATCACATTGTTTTGAATCGAATCGAATTGAAATCGGATCGCACTGCATCGTAAATAACCTAACAAATCAATCGGGGCTAAAGCAGTTCCATAAATGACTAATTAAATTCACACAATCTCACTAATTTGTGCACGTTTATTCTTAAGCAGCCCTTAATGTTGATCATGGATCAAATCGATCCACCATTGCAAACAGCGAATATATCAGTGCTGTTTAATGCATTTGAGACGTTGTGTTTTCCTCAGTGCATAACTGACATGTCACAGGTATATTTTTTGCCACAGTGACTAAGCTTGATCTAGGCCCATGTTAAATTTGGTTTATGGAACCAAATCATTTGACAATGAGTCAGACTAACTGAAATAAGCCTGGTTTATTTGGTTAACTTGTTTTATGAAACAGGCCTCGAGGTGATCATATTTTCTCCATTGCATTGTATTGCATCGAATCACATTGTTTTGAATCGAATCGAATTGAAATCGGATCGCACTGCATCGTAACGGGGTGAATCGTATCGTATCTTCTCGTAGCTGCTTCATATGTATCTTTAATGTATCGTATCGTTGGCTATGCATTGAGATGCGTATCGTATCGGCCTGAGTCATGAGATGCACATCCCTAGCGTTCAGTGTTCTAACATTTGTACATTTACAAGAGTCCATTAAGAAAAAGTTATTTTAAATATTAATATTTCACAATATTACTGTTTTTAAAATTATCGAATAAATCACTTACAGACTTCTTTCATAAACGTAAAAATCTTTTCAACCACAAATTTTGATATACTGTGTATAATTTAGGGTTTAAGGACAAAGATTTAGACAGTCTCTGGAGCTAATTTTTGGCAATGCTCAGACAGAGTATTAAGTGTTATTTTATGTGTTTTTGAAAAAGATTAGTAAATAGAGGATTTGTTAGTATTCAGTGTTCTAGTATTTGTAGAATTACTTTTACATGTCTAATTTTAATGGTAGTTGCTTAGTTTAGTTAGGTTTTTATTATACAAGGTATTTGAGTTGAGTCTACACGTTCATTTTATGTTTTTGAAAACACAACATACTGATTTTTCCCCAAACCAGTTAAGTGCAAACTCCACCCCACAGTCAACGTCATTGGTCAACTACATCACAGTAACCTGTCAAGAAAAAATCATGGATTCAGTTCAGAGTTCAGAAAAATCATGGATGGAATCTGATCGCGACAAACAGTAATGCTACTGTAACAAGATGTTCTACCAATGCTATACTACGTTTAAGGTTAGAGGTTAGTAGTTGTTTTAGCACTGTGTAGACAATCAGCACTGTGATTGAACTGACCAATAAATAAACAGCTGCGGGGCAGCATCTGCGCTTAAAAAAAAAATCACACAGAAATCTCAACCGCTGTCCACACTTGACTCAAGTTAAGCCAAATAATTATTTTTTATTTTTTTTTGTAGATGTTTTATGCCAGTTTTTATGCATTGTTTTGTAACTGTCCAAATATTCATAACATTTTCGGAAGCCAATCTGATGCATCTACAATATTAATGCATCTGAATTAAATTTCCAAAATGATTCACCATCCTTCCTTAATGAGGGCAAATTTTGTCGTCGTCAACACAAAACTCAGCTAATTATCTTGCACGCTGCTGGGAAGGCTGATGAAGACATCATTGATCGGAACAACAAACCACCGCACTGTCACTTTGTAGAATATGCCATGATGCTTTTTGCATTTGTATCACTCACCTTTAGAGGCTGTGTGTGAGAAATGACAGATTTGATAGGGCTGTGCTTGTCTTTTTGTCATGCAGGGCGGACATGACTAATCTAAGCCTGCCATCTGGTTAAAGATATGGCCCCTGCTGTCGCCTGTATTTCCCATGAATTCTCACTGCTCCTCTCCCCATGGAGACACATCCGGAAAGGTCAAAGTTCAACCCCATGACCTGCAGAGAGGTATTGCTCCTGCTGCTCAGAGGTCACGTCCCCTCTCTATCCCACCATAGCCTGAAAGATGTCAAAACACACCTCTGCATGGGTTTTAATTTCTTACAAGAAAAGGTGGAGTGCATGGTGTGTATATATATTTATATACATATAAATATTAACATATGTGCAATACACTGCCTTTCAAAAGTTTGGGGTCAGTATGCTTTTTTATTTTTTTCTTAAAGAAATTAATACTTTTGCTCAGCAAGGACACATTAAAATCCTGAAAAATATGCATCACTGTTAATTAAGCAGCATAAGCATTTTCAACATTGATAATAATATGAAATGTTTCATGAGCAGCAAATCAGCATAGCATTACAATGATTTTCGAAGGATCATGTAACACTGAAAACTGGAGTAATGGCTGCTGACAATTCAGCTTTGCCATCACCAGAATAAATGACATTTAAAAAAAAGGTTGTGTTATTTATAAATAGCATTCATTTGAGTATTCATTTCACTCTTGCACAGACTCCATTGGCACCAGTCTTTTGTTCATATTCAACTCAGGTTCATGAGTAAGATTTTTTAGTGCATTTTGCAGAGACTTGAAGTTTGTAAGGTAGCTTCAAAAGACTAAAAGATTTATTTTAGGATTAGTATGGTTTCTGTTGTACTTCCAATACAAGTCATTTACAGTGGGCATAGAAAAGAATCACCCCCCTTTAAAATAATCTCATTTTGTTGCTTTGCAGCCTGAAATGAAACGAAGATGGACCCATTTTTGATTTAGGCAAGGCAAGGCAAGTTTATTTATGTAGCACATTTCATACACAATGGTAATTCAAAGTGCTTTACATAAAAGAAAAGAAAATAATAATAAAAAAAATAATCACAACAATAAAACAAGGAATTTAAAAACTTTGAAAATGATTTAAAAATGTATTTAAGAGGTTTAAAATGAATTTAAAACAGTTAAGAATAGAAAATGATTATACAAAAAAAATAGTGCAATCAGTTCGGACATTGCACAGTGCTCATTCAATAAATGCACAGCTAAACAGATGAGTTTTGAGTCTGCATTTAAATGTGACTAATGTTTTAGTACATCTGATCTCTTCTGGAAGCTGATTCCAAATGCGGGCGGCATAATAACTAAAAGCGGACTCCCCTTGTTTTGTGTGAACCCTTGGTATTTCTAACTGACTCGATCCTAATGATCTGAGTGCTCTGTTAGGTTTATATTCAGTGAGCATATCTGCTATGTATTTAGGTCCTAGGCCATTGAGTGATTTATGAACGAGTAAAAGTACTTTAAAATCAATCCAAAATATAACTGAAAGCCAGTGTAAGGACTGGTGTGATATGCTCAGATTTTCTGGTTCTAGTCAGAATTCTGGCAGCAGCGTTCTGGATGAGCTGCAGCTGTCTAATGGTCTTACTTGTGAAGGCCGGTGAGAAGACCATTACAATAGTCCACCCTGCTGGTGATAAAGGCATGAACAAATTTCTCCAAGTCTTGACTAACAAAACATCTAATTCTTGCAATGTTTTTTAGATGATAGTATGCTGATTTAGTTGCTGCGTTAACATGACTACTGAAACTAAGGTCTGTCTCCAGAGTCACACCAAGATTGCTGACTTGATTTTTAGTTGTTAGACCTCTAGAGTCAAGGTATGCGTTCACCTTGAGAACTTCATCTTTGTTTCCAAATGCAATGACTTCAGTTTTTTCCTTGTTTAACTGAAGAAAGTTCTGGCACATACAACTGTTAATTTCATCAATGCATTGGCAGAGGGAGTCAATGGGGCTGTAGTCATTTGGAGATAAGGCTAAGATAGTCACGCAGTGTGAAAACAACGGCGATCCAATGAGTTTGAAAATCATGCAGTGTGAACTCGGCATTAGTGGGAGCATATGCAGGCTAAACAAGAGCGGTGCAGGAATTGAGCCTTGTGGGACTCCACATGTCATGGACGTCCACTTAGACTTATGCTCTCCTATACTCACACAATAACCTCTCCCTTCTAAGTATGACCTGAACCATTTGATTACCATCCCAGAAAGCCCGACCCAGTTTTCCAGTCTCTCTAGTAGTATGTTATGATCGACAGTATCAAACGCAGCACTGAGATCTAGTAGTACCAGCACTGATATTTT